GAGATCCTGTGCTTGCGCAGGTCCTTCACGTGGATCAAGGGGGAGAGGATGTCTCTGCAGAAGCGATCGAGGATCAGGATCTTGTAGACCTCGCCGGAGGTTGATGCGGCCGCGGAGGAGGAGGGGGAGGGGGGTTGGTTGAGGTTGAGCATGCGGATGATCTGAGACGTCTGCTTCTGCCGGAGATTGAGCGCCATGGATTTGGATCTTGGGATCTTCTAGTTAGAATTGGGGAAATTGATTGAATCTACTAGGGTTTTATTTTTATTTTTATTTTTAAAAAAGCTCAGATCTGATTAGGTTACGACGGAGGAATGAAGAAACGAGAAGCTGAGAAATGGGCGTGGGAGCGATTCGGATGAATTGGGTCTTAACGGGCACGGACGGGCCGGTTTGGGCGCCATCGGTTCTGGAATTAATGCGTTAGTTACAGAAAACCCTCATGAATTTTTGGAGAATTGCGGTTAACCCCTATCAACTTTTTCTTAATTACACTAAACTTCAATGAACTTTTGGAAAGTTGCACATGAACCCAGGAACTGTTTTATTTCACTTAATCTTATATATTTTGATCCCTCTATTAGCATCATCAATTCTAACGGCTCACTGGTAAGCGATGAATAAAAGAAAAAGACGAAAAGTTTCTTCTTAGTCCCAAAAAACCCTTTTATTAAAAAAGAAAAAACATGTAACTTTTAGGGACTACGAAATTGTTTTCATCTTTTTTTTCACACTTGCTCGCCACATGAGAATTTAGAATTGATGGTGCTAACTTAGAAATTAAATGAGAAATTTTCATGTAAAATTTAGTAAAATAAAATAGTTAATGGGGGTTATGTGCAACTTCCCAAAAGTTCATGAGGGATAGTGTAAGAAAAACAAGTCGATTAGGGTATACTGCAACTCCTCGAAATTTTATGGGGTTTTTTGTAATTAACCCTTGTTTAATCGAAAGGGTTATTCCTCTTCTTTATTTGTATAAAACAGGACCACGTGCATTTTTCCATTTAGAAGCTGTTTGGTTCGTTTCCTAGATATAGGGAAATGCATTTTCATGTACAAAAGCATAAGCTTCGAGTTTTCCAAATTTTTCCAAGAAATAGATTGTTTCGCTTTGGTTCGCACACAAAAAATAATGGGAAACCAATGCATTTATTTTTCTTGTGTTTGGTTCGCATGGAAAAAAAGGGAACATTTTTGTTTATATGGCAAAGAGCTGACGTGGCTGCAGTTTTCGTCGATTTCACGAGGTTAAGGAAGGAATTAGGGGAGAGAAAAAAAATCTGATGTGGCGGCGATTTTCACCGAGTTTTCCTTCCTCAACCCTACCGAACCAAAGATGGGGAAAAACCCGACGGAAAGCTTATATCCTACGTGGCCACGAAAAATCTGATGTGGAAAAGATGGGGAAAAACCCGACGGAAAGCTTATATCCTACGTGGCCACGAAAAATCTGATGTGGAGGCGGTGTAAAACTTTTCCACCGAGTTAAAAAACGAACCAAACAGCCCCTTAAAATTGGAGGGGGGAAATGTCCTGGCCAAAAGCACATCCGCTTCAGCATGTTTCTAAATTAATGTTTCCGATTAAAAACAAGATGACCGTTGCTAGCCTCGATAAGTTTCTTGATCCCCAAGGCTTTGACCTGTTTTAGAGAAAATCTAAAAAAATAATCATTGAATTTTCATTTTTTTTCTAATAGTTGTTTTTTGAAATATTTGTTAAAAGTTTTCTCGCTAGAGAAACCGATCATCAGAGTAATAATTGAGAGACTGAAAAATGATGAGAAGAATGTGTGCGCGTTGGAGATATTTTAGATACTTGACTACCAATGAATTGTCAATTTATTTCCTCATTCAGGGAATCAGGAGATTGATATGATTGCTATGATGGATAATCATAAATAAAGTATAATAGTTTGTCCTTCATTGACGAGGAGAATATTTTATTTTTATTTATTTATTTATTTTCATTTTATTTTTTTGAAGAGGAATGGGTATGTGCATGAATATTTGTTGTAATCTCATACTTTTAAATTGTGATGATGATGGCTACAATCCTACAAATATCCATAGATAAATAATCCAACTTTATACTTCATATTTGAGTAGACTCAATGTATCCAATTATCACCAATTAGGCGGCAATGAAAGAGGGTCTAATTTCTCTAGAACTTCCATTTAGGTCTGTTTGGTTGATTTCCTAAAAACCAAGAAATGGAAATGAAAAGGTGGAAATGTCAAAAAGTGCAATTTCATACAAGCTCAATGAGGCATTTAAGTCCTAGTTGGTGGTGGGGTCCACCATAGAGCTCCTAAGAGCTCCACAAATTTGTGGAGCACTTAGGAGCTCCTAAGAGCATCTCCAACAGCTTCTCCAAAAAATTCTCCAAAATAGGGAAGTAAAAATCATATTCTCCAAATTATTTTTACACAAACTCCAACAGCTTCCCTATTTTGAAGAATCATTTTTTTCCTCTAAAAATTTGGAGAATGCTGTAGATTTAGGGAAGCTTCCCCATTTTTTCTCCTCCATCTCTATTTTGGGGAATGAGATGAGGAATCTGTTGGACCAAAAACCTAACTATATTCTCCAAAAGTGAGAAATAAGGAAACTGCTGGAGATGCTCTCAGGGATGAGGGCCCACTAAAAAATATTTTTTTATTAGATTTATTGTTTTAAAATATATTTATAAAATGTTAGAGGTAGAAGAATGGTTTTTTATTAGATTTATTGTTTTAAAATATATTTATAAAATGTTAGAGGTAGAAGAATGGATTTTTTAAATAATATTTAAGCGTTTTAAAATATATTTATAAAATGTTAGAGGTAGAAGAATGGATTTTTTAAATAATATTTAAGCTCCTAGTTAGGAGTTTGTTGGAATATTTGTGCTAGTAGGAAGCTCCTAAGTGGGTCTCATGCTTGAGAGCACTCCAACAAGAGCTCCTTACTAGGAGATTGGTGCACTTGCTCTTAAGTGTGGATCACACCATCCAATAATATATTAACAATGTTTGAGGGGTGCTAGTGGGGGCCACCATGTGATGAAGCGGAGAAAGGATCACGCGTTTTGGTTTTCTCTCGTTGCGGACATTAATGCAAAGGCCCACCCGACTTTGCATCAGAGACTTATAAAAACCCTTCTAGGGTTTCGTGATGGTTAGTGCAGGTAGGGAGAGAAACGCGATCGAAAGAAAAAGAAAAGAAAAAGTGCGGCTGATGATTAGATTTTGAAGCGGCGGGAAATCTGTGCTAGGTGCAAGGCAGAAGTCTTAATTGTTGGCGACTACGAAGAAAAATAAGGGGGCGGCTGCGGTTGATTTTGTGCGAATTCAGAGGCTCAGGGACTGTGGCTGTAGTTGTTCTTTGATTTGTGCAACTCTTTGAGAGAGTATTTGTGTGAGGGATCTGAGAGTTTGTGAGAGGGTTTTATTTGTGAGATTGTAAACCCCAGTTGTATTCTCTCCCTCTAATAGTAGATCTCCCCCCTCCTTGCCCCGTTTGCCGAACCACGTAAAAGTTGTGTTCTTGCTGTGATTTGTAATAGCTTGTAGGATCCCTCGACAGGTCAGTCCTAGAACTGATGAGAGGAAGAGCCGATATCTCACTTTATTGAGATATTCGCTTCAGATTCTTGTTTTCTTGGTGAGACGAGAATTCTTATTACGATCTAATCTCTTGTTGTGCACCTTACGCACCGGAGGTGCTGCTGAAATTTCCGTTGCGCACAACAAGTGGTATCAGAGCTCCAGGTTGGATTTGGGAGCTTGTTCGAAGGATTCGCTGAAGGATTCCTATTTGAAGAATTAGATCGACAACATGGGAGAAACAAGCACATCGGGATCGTCACTTTCGAAGGTGATACGGAGTCTGAGCATCAATAACACGAAGATTGATATTCCAAAGTTCGACGGCAAGATTAATTTCGGATTGTGGAGGTGTCAGGTGATGGACGCCTTGGATGCACAGAATTTGGAGGAGACTCTTGAGTTACAAGAGAAACCTGCTGATATGGAGGACAAGGTTTGGAAGAAGATGAATAGTAGGGCTTGTGGAGTTATTCGGTCATGCTTGACACCGGATCTTATTTATGACATAATGAACGAGACGTTGATGAAGAGAATGTGAGAAACACTAAATGAGAAGTATCTGACGAAGAGCATTGAGAATCGGCTTCACTTGAAGAAGAGGTTTTACCAATTCAAGATAAAGAGGGGAGTTTCCATTCGGGAGCATGTTAACAACTTCACGAAGCTAATTTCGGATATGGCCAATATAGATATCATGGTTGAGGATGAAGACAAGGCGATGCTACTATTGTGTACGTTGCCGGAAGATGATTTTGGTATGTTTGTTCTCACTATGATAAATGGAAGAACTACAGTTAGCTACAATGAGGTGACCTCAGCTTTAGTGAATTATGAGTTGAGGAAGAGTGATGACGAACCCTCCGAGAAGGCATCGGGAGGTGACCTCAGCTTTAGTGAATTATGAGTTGAGGAAGAGTGATGACGAACCCTCCGAGAAGGCATCGGGAGATGCATTAGCAGTTCAGTGATGACGAACCCTCCGAGAAGGCATCGGGAGATGCATTAGCAGTTCGAGGCCGTGGTCCAAACCGTTTTCCAGGAGATCGCTGAAGATCGAAGTCAAGAGGTTGCCATAGAAATATTGGTAGGAACCAGTGTTGTTTTTGTAAAGAAGAAGGACATTGGAGGAACGACTGCCCAAAGTTGAAAGACAAAGCCGGGAAGAATAAAGGGAAAGTTATACAAGCTTCGGAAGTGAATGTTATCAAGGCTAGTGACGACAATTCAGATACGGATTCTTCAGGCTATTCTTGCTCTGCATTATCGTCAGCTTGTTACGCTGACTCTACGGAGTGGATGATGGATTCTGGTGCTACATACCATATTTGCCCTAGGACGGATTGGTTTTCCAGCTTTGAGGAGTTGGAAAGAGGAGATGTCGTGCTCATGGGTAATGATCACGTATGTCCTATTGATGGTATTGGTACAGTACGGATCCGGATGTGTGACGGGGTAACTCGGGAGCTGAAGGAAGTGAGATTCGTTCCTCAATTGATGAAGAATATCATTTCGCTTGGAACTTTGGAGGCAGATGACTATAAGGTGATCTTTGAGAATGCGATTCTAAAGATCACAAAGGGGTCCATGGTGGTGATGCGAGGTGTCAGGGAAAACAATATTTACTACTTGAAGGGCAAGACAGTAACAGGGGCTCTGGCAGCTTCGATTACCACAGAGGAAGATACTACCAGCTTATGACATATGAGATTGGGACGCACTGGTGATAAGTCCCTGCAGGTATTGGCGAAGCAGGGGCTATTGAA